AGCGCACAGGGTGGGTTGAGAGTAGCCCTGAAGAGAAGGATTTGGGGGTGTTTATAGATGAGAAGCTCAACATGAGCCAGCAGTGCGCTCATGCGGCCCAGAAGGCCAACCACATCCTGGGATGTATCAAGAGAAGCATGGTCAGCAGACCAAGAGAGGTGATTCTCCCCCTTTACTCGGCTCTTGTGAGACCCCACCTCGAATACTGCGTCCAGTTCTGATGTCCCCACCACAAGAGAGACATAGATTTGTTGAAGCGTGGTCAGAGGAGGGCCACAAAGATGATCTAGGGGCTGGAGCACCTCTGCTACGAGAAAAGTTGCGGGAGCTGGCATTGTTCAGCCTTGAAAAGAGAAGACTTTGGGGGGACCGAATAGCTGCCTTCCAATATCTGAAGGGAACCTACAGGAAGGCTGGGGAGGGACTTTTTACAAGAGTGTCCACTGACAGGACAAGGGCAAATGGGTTTAAGTTGAAGGAGAAAAGATTTAGATTAGATATTAGGAAGAAATTCTTCAGTACAAGGGTGGTAAGACTTTGGAATAAATTGCCCAGAGAAGTTGTGGATGCCCCCTCCCTGGAGGTGTTCAAGGCCAGGCTGGACGGAGCCTTGAGTAGCCTGATCTAGTTGAGAGGCGTCCCTGCCCACGACAGGGAGGTTGGATTAGATGATCTCTAAGGTCCTTTCCAGCCTATGCCATTCTATGATTCTATGATTTCACATGCTTGAGTTCTGTAGTGAGAGCCAAAAATCCAGCAGAATCAAGGACTACCAAATTTACAGCAACAAATTTAGAGTGGGGAGTACTTGTACGTAATTGTGATTTAATCTTCACATCTTTACTGGAAACATGAATTTTGCTTGGAAGTAGTATCAATCCCATTATATTGAAATTACACTTTTCAGAATGGATGTGACTTCCAGCTAAGGTATGGAACTACATTTTGAAAGCTGTATCACTGTAGCCCCTTACCTATAAATATCCTTAAGGATTCACAAGACTGACCCCCATCTCTGCCTTACTGAGGGAAATAGCTGATATTTAACAAAATACAACTACTTATCCAATGTGAATCACTGTCAGACAATGTCTCCTTAAACAAGGAAAAATATATTTCCTCCTTTTGTCTAAAAGGAAAGGAGAGGTTGCGAATGAATAGATACCAACACGATAGGCACAATACAGAACATTTTAAGAAGCATTCAAAGAAAAACTCTGAAACACATCTGAACGTCAGACAAAGCAGCTGTGCTTATGTGACAGGCATGTCTTATCCAGAAAAGAATCAAGGAAAGCAAAACTGAGCTTAAAGACTTAGCAAAAAGACCGTAACACTGAAGAAATGCCCAACTTTGAAACACAGGCCCTTTAGTATAAGGCGGCATTGCATTTAGGAGTTCTTCATGGAGGTCTGTATTTCTTCTGCTACGAACAAAATGAAAGCTATACTCTGAAATCCTATCTGCACCTGTTTTCTCGTACTGATAAATGCCTTTTCTCCAGGCAAACCACAGACTACAAGGCTTGTTTGTTCAGGAAGAGAGCAATAAGTTACGTTTAAACAGAGAATCTAATGAGTTGACAACAGACAGAAGTGAAGAGCAATTGAATATAGGTTTTCTTTGTCAGAAGGAGGACCTCTAATTCCAAAATTAACTTCATATATATTTCCAGACTGACATGAAGCCAGTTTTATTCTGATCCCACAGGTCTGGAATGCCTAGAAAATCAGTGGCTTGACTCCTGGAAGCAATACGGCAACTGGTTAAGAGAAGAGATACTTCAAACAGATGACACAGTCATTCCCTTTAATTTGCCATTGCAGCCATTCAAAACTCACAGGTTTGTTGATCGGCACATGTACCCTTTCTGTACTGGTTTAAGCTGCTGAGCTCAACAAAAGAAACAGCCATGAGTTTTTAAAAGGAACATTGCAAGACTGGAAGAGTACTGCACAAAGGATTTAGTAACAAACTATCTAGGTTCCCTTCTTCCTTTTAATAATATCATATCATTGGAAAAGTAACAGAGACAGACAAGAACGAAGAAACAGTAAAATGAGCCACCGGCAAATTTTTTGTTTGATGTAAACATTCAACACAGAACCACAGAACCGCAACAACAATCAGTGTAGGCAAACCAGGACTGTGAAGCTATATTTCGTATCTATTCACATAAGCATTTATTTTTTACTGTTGACCAAAACTTTCACATCATCAAATTCCACTAGTTTTAAGGACAGGCATATACAATCACTCATCACAATGAGAAAAAAAAAAAAAGAATGAAATGAACGCAATTTCCTTTTCAAAAATAAGAACTACTCACTTTTGTCACCATAACCACCACAAAGTTCTTCTCATCAATTTTGTATTCTTTAAGAGCAGTATCATCATTAAGGATTTTACCTGGCAAATTAAATAGATACAAATAAAGGAAAAAGTTACTTAACAGATCATTAGATGATCTTAGGATTCCTTCATATAAACACGGTTCCAAAAAAAACCCCAAGCAAACATTAAAACACACTTTATTCAGACTCTAAACATTAATAACCCTACAAAAAGTATTTTGGATACTAAGCTTTGGCAGTACAGCTACAAGTAATTTTCCTCCTATGATGTCCACAGTACTAGTTAGCTGGAAGGCTGTTGCCATAAATGTCAAAGATACTTTAAACCACTTAAAACAGAAGTGTTCCATCTAGAGAAAGATTTATTGGACCTTTAACATAGATATAAGTGATGCAGAAGAAAGGTTTTAGGATACAATAGCTTAACTGAATAATTTATGCCTGCTTACGCACTCTAGACACAGTAGGGGAATTCCTTCCTGCTGCTCTTCTGGTTGCCCTTCGCATGTATTAAACTGTCTACCATCTCCTGCCACATTGTGAATTTGCAACTTTTAACAATTTGTTCTAAAAGAAGGCTAAAGCATTAAAAAAAGCTAGAGTCATTCCATATCCTGCTACCTTGACAGAAGGGTAAAAAAAAAAAAAAAACAACCAACCTGATGAGACAAAACTAGAAACATTCGTTTATCATACTACCACTTTTGACGTCTCCTAAGCAGAGACGGTACTGTGGCAAACTAGATTTGCCACACATATACAAGAACTCAGAAACACATTAAACAACATTTTTGGTTTTGGGTTTCTTTTGGATAAGCTAATTTAGAGGCAGTGACACAAATCAGAAAATTAAGTCTGTATTTCAGTGAGTCTGATAGCACTTGCTTCTCACAGATAATTTTCAGGAAATATTTTACGATTTTAATTGACTCATTTTCTGAAGATGGACCGCTTCTCTATTTAAGAGGAAAATACGTATTTTCATAACCATTCTCAGTGCTAGTGGAACATACCACTCAACTGTAACTACCAGGACACATCCTTATCCTGATGCCTGCAAGCAAATCAAGCAATGCATACACGTTATGGCACCTGGAAAACAAACAAGGTGGCACTGTCTTACTCTCTACTGGTTCTACCAGTCTTGCAGGTCAAATACTCAAGAATGCATTACATGTACTCTAGTTGTAGTAATACTTGTAGTAGGTAGTGCAGCATTTGACTCAGAACCTACACAAGTTTACTTAAAATTTTATGGTTTATAGGCACTTTGGGGATAGAGCTTGCACAATGTATATATGCCAACATCATATCCTCTCGGGACACACTACTCTCAGGGTTTCTAGGCTTTACTCTAATACAGATGACAACACAACAGATCTACCTCACTGCTGCTCAGTATAACCTTTCTTTTAAAAAAATTGCAAGTGTTTTTAATAACAGAATGTATACTATTAATCAGGTTCAGTCAGGATATCACACAATTCTAAGTTCATTTTAATCAAAGTAAAAATATCAATATACCTTTATTGTACCTCTTGTCCAAGAAAAAAAATACTATCAATCTTTGGATGGTCTTCTATTCTAAACCTTATTTCCTACTGCTTGTGAGGATTACACAATGCTGCAGATAAACTCTGGCTTTTGAAAAATACTCAAGCCACACGATCTCACGCAATCCTTGAATTTTTTTAACCACAGAAACACAGTATTAAGAGCGTCATGCAATTATACATATTGCACAAGGCTTTCTGCCTTGTTCGTTATTTCATTATTATACACGTGACTTTTACCTTCGTGCTCCTGATATACATTCTCTTCACTGAAGTACAAGGGACATAAAGCTTGCTAAGAAACACAGTCCTGAGGAGTCTATACAAACACAGAGAGACTCCTGACTTCTCTTCCATTACCATCTTTCTATTGTGATCAGTGGCTTTAGCTTGTTAGAAGCAGAAAACTAATACTGTTTACAAAGCAGTACATTGAAAAATTCAAAAGACCACCAAAGTTTCTTTCAACTACAGCTTGAGAGGAAAAAGCACTAGAGCAGGTATCAGAACAGAACTTTAAGTTCTGACATGAACTGAGAATAAAAAAAAATGGACCTGTATATTAGCATAAGAACGGACTAGCCAGGTATAAAGCAATAAAAAAATTGAAAAAAAAAAAATTCGAACTTCCTTACCTCAAATTTAACTTCATGTCTTTATCTGACGTTAGCCTGCTTTATGCTACCACCTAATACATGTTTTTAATGACAGGCCTTAAAAGTATTGAAAGTACCTTTGTATAGCAAGGATTTGGTGGTGGGTTTCCTTTGTTAATACAAAATAAGTAATCTGATTTTTAATTCTCTAAGGCATATAGAGGAATGCTTCGTCTATACACAGCATAAACTGAACAAGAGACAACAGTTAATCCAGAACATAGGTTGTGATTGTCACGGTTTAGGCTGCTCTGGCAACTAAACTTCTCTGAGCCGCTCTCTCACTCCTTCCCCAGTAAAGTGGAGAGGAGAAAAAAAATAATAAAACGGACTGAGGGACGAAACAAGAACAGAGAGGGAGCACCCACAAACCATGGTCCCGGGCAAAACAGACATGGCTCAGGAATAAAGCAAAACGATTTATTAATAGTTATTTGAAAGGATAACGAGAAACAAAACCAGTTACTGGAGAGGATAAAAAGAAACTAAGCCAGATCTTAAAAACAACACCTCCCCCTCCCACCTTTCCTTTTCTTCCCGGCTCCACCTCCTCTCCCACTGGTGCAGGGGGACAGTGAATGGGGGAGTGCAGGTCAGTTCATCCCATGTTGTTACTGCCGCTCCTTTCTTAAAGGAAGAGGAGTCCTTACACTCTTTTTCCCTTGCTCCAGTGGATCCCCTACTCACAAGGAAAATCCACAAACTTCTCCAGCATGAGTCCTACCAGCAGGATGCAATCCTTCCTCATCAGATGGCTCCAGTGCGGGCTTCACCACAGTCTCAGATTCTTAGGGAGCTGTTGCCACTCGCTCCGGTGTGGGTCGTCACATGGACTCTAGATGTGTCTCTACCTTGCCGTGCGTCCCATGCTCCATGACCGTCCTCAGGCTCAGGCACCTCTTCTCCGACA